GGCCGCTGCTCCCCGCCCCCGGGCCCGCCCCGGCCCCGACTCCGGCCCCGCGGAGCCCCTCGCCCGTCCTCCCCTCCGGCCCGAGGTGCGACACCGGAGCGTCCCCTCGGTCCCCAGCTCCGGTTAAAGCTAAAACCGACTTAAAACCCGGCTCGACGGAGGGAAAAGCAAAGCTGGGCAGCGGGAGGAGGGGGGGGATGCTCCCTGCACCCACTCCCCTCCCCGGGGCTCCAGGATTTTCCCTGGATGCTGTTTTTCCAGCTGAAAATGCTACTTTTTAACTTTTCCACTCACTTTTCCATCACCCCCCGAAAGTGCTTTGCTGCCCTGATTTTGGCTAAGCCACCCTAGCCTTACTTTTGGGTTTATTTAGAGACTTGCGGAGTCCCCCTCTCCTCTGGCTTCACACCAGGAGAAACACACACACCCCCCCTCTCAAAGGATCCCATTTACGCTGCAGAGACAGAGCCAGATCCTGAGGTGAAGGAGCAGCAATGGCGTTATTTAACCACGATTCCTTTGAACCAACCCCCCAAACCAGCCCGGGGAGGGGGGGGAAGGGGGCTGCTCCAGCCCCTCGAGGAAGGTGGAAACGGGGCTCCCCGGGGTGTGAGCAAGGACTTGAGGACCTGCCAAGGAAACACTTGTCCTCAGCTGCCCCAGCACACAGCCCTGCCCTCAAATCAATTAAAAACAACACATTTACAGCTTTAGTTCTTTGCTTCCCTGGCCCCAGCACATACAAAAACCTCCCTGGCCAGATCCTGCCCTTTAAAAATCAGCCTCAACACCACAGCGTCTTCCCCTGACGCAAATAGCGGTTAATAAATAGCACCACGAATAAGTCAGTGAATGATTTTCCAGCAGGAATGGAGGAGCAGTCCCCAGCTGGGCGCCTGCTCTGCTACCTCTGGACCAGGGTCGGGGGTTTGCTTCGCACTCGGGGAAAAGAAAGCACCTGCCACGCTCGGCCACCCATCCTTCCTGCCACAGTTAATACTGGAGTAAATATTAATGATGGGTTATGTTGCAACCTCTGTCCAGGAACACATTAGCCCAGCGGTGGCATTTTTGGTAAAAAGGAGAGTCACACACACCTGGAAATTAAATACAGTTGTTTTTTTTTTTTCCTAGAGAGAAAAAAAAGCTCCTTTCTGGAGTAAAATAGAGGCTGTGGGAACATGGGTCAGGTAGGGAGCAAGGGAGATGTTACTAGAGGAGAAGTCCTCAGCCAGAAGAAAGGAGCAATAAATACCTGGCTCTGGACTGTGACCAGAGCAGCAGGGGCTAGTGGGAGCCACAGGGCAATGGAGAGAAGGGAGTGGGAAGGAAGAGGTTAGAAATCCTCCCCCTTTCTAGCCCAGAGAGATCCTGACCCCAGTGCCTCATTTCTCCTTATTTCACTCTGCCAATGAGACAAACAACCCTTGAAAACAGTTTATTTGGAGCTGAACACCAACATTCAAGTGCCTGCCTATAAACCAGCCCCGCTGAGTAACAGGACCAACTCCTGGTCCAGCCAAGCACAGGCACAGAGAGGGGCAGCTTAAACCTGAGCTTAAGGTGGAGGAGAGCAAAGGCGCAGCCCTGCCCTCTACTTCCAACAGTTCCCAAAATGCAGGAGGGGAACGACGGGCAGCTGCTGTCATCACAGGGGCCTCCCCCAGCGAGCACAGAGAGCAGCCAAGTCTCGGAGCGGGGGCCTCGCAGAGGAGCTCGTGTCTGCAGGGTCACAGGATGAGATGATGGACTGCAGAGCGTGGCTGTAGGCTGAGCGGGAAGGGGACACAGAAGCAGCGTTAAGAGATGAAAGTTTCACTTACAGCCCGAAACTGGGCTCGGCTGCAGCCTTTGACCATGAAGGAGAGAGAGAACTGGTTTTTAAGATTAATCAACATGCCTGTAGTTTTCCACATGCTTGTTTGCATGCTCTGCATGATTACAAGCCTGGGAAAGCCAAAGGTTTTCATAAAGCCCAATTTATCTTTTTTTTTTTTTTCCCCCAGAAGACAACTCCCAGTTGCTCAGCCAGGTACTCTCCCAAGGTGTACTCAAAACCAGAGCACTCTCCATGACCTAACAAAGACAATTTCCACCACCTTCTTGCATCCCCCCAGCAGAAGATTCAGCATTAAGGCAAAAAGGTTTTCAGTGCCAAGCCTGTTTTACAGCGTTTTCCTCATGGTTCTCCCTCTACCAACACACATATGTATTACAGCAGTGTTATTTAACGCGTTAGAGTCTGGTGCTTTGCTGAGGGTGCCACTAAGCTCCCTGAAGGAACAGAGGAAGAAGTTGGGTTGACAAAAAGCAGCAGAGCACCTGACTTGCCCCCTCTGGACTATGTAGAAGCATCTCTGAACAGCAGCCCAGGACCACAGAAACATCCAGCCACGTTTGATTCCTCCCCATATATTCAGGGTCCATCTAGACGCCCCCTCTCCAGAAACAGGAGCTCCTCCTACCTTTGTGGTTTTTGTAGAAGACACAGTTGTTGGCACAGGTATCCGGGTGGGAGTCCCAGAAATCAGACCCGCAGGAGCATAGCGGGGGCAAGTCAATGTTATAGAGCTTGATCTTCTCCCTCATCTGGGCCCTCAAAGCTTCAAGGTACCTGCAAGGGATAAAATATTCACCTGTGCCAGTAACACCTGGTTCCACGCAAGAGGGGATCCAGCCGTACCTCACATGCTCCTTATTTCGCTGTTTTTCCTTAATCATCTTCTCTCTCCTCTCCACCAACTTCAGCTGGGCCAGGCTCTCACAGGCTCCCTCTCCTGGGGAGGGTCCTTGCTGGGCAGCCACCTCCCGCATCCTCTGCTCCTCCGCGCGGCGCTGGTTCTCATTCTTGCTCTTAATCCTGCAGGCACACACTCACTTAGAGAAGCTTCCCCACCACCCCCTCCACTCCCCTGGTTGTAAGATCAGGGCAGGTGGATCTAGATGCTCCCACTGCCTTTGCCCAAACCACTCCACTAATCGCAGACATTCTAAGCTTTAAATACAAAACAGTAAAAAAAATGCTTTCCGAGCCTCTTTTCTTTCCCTCCCTACTGCAATACCAGCCTATGAACGCTCCCCTGCCCTTGTCCTCCTCCTGCCTGCTAGAGTCTTCTCACCGTCCCGGCCTTCTCCCCCATCACATTCACACGTGCTCCTGTTAAGAAGCGCCGCCTGCAGTTCCCCAAAAGAGCTGCTCTTCTGTCCTTCCAAAACCAAGAGCGGTGCCTGGGCTCTTTCATATCCACCAGAAAGGACCAACAGCTCAGCTTCCTCACTTCTGATTCCTTCTGACTGTGGGGCAGCATGGATCTTACCCTAAGCTGTCTTTGCACCTTCCAGGACAGGGCTGCAGAAAAGAGCTACATACAGCAGAGAAGCTCCAAAGATCCCACACCTACTCACTCCAAGACAGGCTTTAAGAGGCGTTTTTAACCAAATCTTTATTTCCTCAATCTCCCTTGCACCCTCCAGCCCTTTTGGTGGAATCTGGGTTGTGTTAAGTCACACCAAACGCAAAGCACGTTCCCTTGACAAGTAACAATTACAAAGCACAAAGATTTAAACTGAAGCATCTGCCATTTTATTCCTGCTGATGAGTACCAAATGCAATAACATGTTACAGGCTGATCACTGCCAAAAGGCATTTATAAAAAAAAAAAAAAATAAATCAAGGCTGGGTAGAAGCCAGGGGGAGAAAGCGTAATTGCAGGAGACATTTCGGATGTTACTCCATTTGGGGGGTCAAATCTTTACATGGAGAAGGAAAGCACTGAAGTAAAACTTCTCTAGTCAAGTTATAAACTCAAAAATGTTTTTTAAATGAAGTGGTAATAGAGCCTTAACTACCCCACCATAAATCTTCTGCTATAGAAACTAAGGCCAAGGCCAACTTAAGGCTTTACACTTAAGTAAATTACAAAACCAGCTCTTTTCTGCATACACTTAGCAGCTTGCAGCTCCATCAGCATCCCTGCAACCAGAGGGGGTGTGTGGGGGGGGGAAATCTCACTAACTAGGAAGTCCCTGGTGTCTCGCCAGCACTTGCAGGGCAAGAAAAGGTCTCTGAAGCTCCCAAGTGCCGATTTAAAAGTCAGGAATGTGGCTGGAGGAACGTTTCTTTCAACTGAAAAGTGACCGTGAAGATGCTGCCCTGGGGTGTCTGTCCTGCTCCCACAGGGCCTGGCCCCTGCAGAGCTGGCCTTAGAGACAGAGATGGTCAGAGCTACATAGTTTTATTTTAGAGCAAGCCAGAGACAAAAAAAAAATTAAGAGTATCTTTCCTATTTTGGTGTGAAGTTGCAGAGCTCCTCCTTAACAAACCCCTTAAAAGGGAGAAGATGACTAAACCACCAAAACAAAGTACCGATACTTTTGCATAGATACCGAGTTTTCAACTGTGGAATAAATGCTGGGAAATTTTTTATTACACTATATACGTTTATAGCTGTGAGGGTGAAGGGTCTGGTATTAAAAACCCAAGAGATAAGATCAATTTAACAACAGTGATGTGACCTCACCCCAAAGTTTCTAAACACAGACTGTGTAGAATAGGGTCTTGGGATCAGTTCCCAAGAGGTGCAGTGTAGGGAACTGCAGCTCTCCCAGCCTGATGTTTCAGTTCCCAACTCCTGTACAAGCTGCACAGGGACTCAGAAACTCAATACAGCCCAAGGGTCCCTCCTGGGAATGAATCCCACCCCAACGTTAACAGAGCGGGCACTAAAAGAAGCCCAGGCTTATCTAGCCAGGCTTTACAACTGGCATTCATATTGCAGAGCTTCTTTCAACGTACTCCCAGCTTTCTAAAAAATTGATAAAGTGGCCTTTTTTAATCCATCAGGGCAGCTTGCAGCCAAGGAGGCAGAATGCTACTCATCGTGGGGACTATTCTTTTTTTTTTTTTCAGTATCAAGCTGCACAGTCTTCTCAAAGCCTCTGTATTTGGGCTGCAGCAACACTTCCCAAAATACCCACTGCCTCACTCACACCCCAAGCACATGAGACCCCAAGGGTGGCCCTGGGAGGCAGCGATGCCGAGACTGGCTCTCATCCGCGTGTACTCACTGGGTGATTCTCTTCTGCCTCTCCTTCTGCCTCTGCTGCTCCCTCACTTGCTCACGCTCGATATTCATGAAGAGGCGCCGGTATCTCAGGTACTCGTTCTGACGCTGCAGGAAAGAAAAGACACCTCTGAGAAGGACGTCTGGGGGCAGGCTGGGATTGACAGAGAGTGGAAGGAGGGTGCAGAGAGGGGGGATGAGTCTCTGGAGCCAAGGAGCCAGCGCCAGGCCCCGAGGGAATGGCCTCAAGCTGCCCAGGGCAGGGTCAGGCTGGCTCTGAGGAAGGATTTCTGTGCAGAAGGGGCTGTTGGGCGTTGGAATGGGCTGCCCAGGGCAGGGGGGGAGTCCCCGGGATCCCTGGAGGGGTTGAAGAGTCGGGCTGAGCCAGCGCTGAGGGATCTGGGGGAGTTGGGAACGGTCAGGGTGAGGGTCATGGTTGGACTGGAGGAGCTTCAAGGGCTTTTCCAACCAGGATGATTCTGTGGTATCAGCACTCAGCGTGATTTCTGGAGCACAGGTCTATCACAATAGAAACCTCACTCCTTTCCCAAGAGACCCTCAGACATCTCCTTCTGTACATGCCCCAGGACTGAGAAGCTGGAGAGACTGTGGGTCAGCTCAGAGAGGGCAACTGAGGTGCCTCAGCTTTGTACCAGCACCCCTTGATTGAACCTTTCTACAGATGGAAGCTCTGACATCTGACAAACTGCTAAACTCTCACTTTCCTGGGGGTAAGAGAGCTGGTTCCCACTTCACCAGAGGACTATGAGCTACAGTCCAAGAATTTCAGTCCATCTGGGGACTGGCAGTCGTTTGCAGTTCACTGAAAACATGTATCTCCAAAAAGGGGAAAAAAAAAAAAAAAGAAAGCACGTACAACACCAAACTGGACCCACTACATGCAGGAAAACCACAGAGGTGGCAAATTTATTGCTGAGAGAAATTTAAGAGCCCTGCAGGGAACAACTCCAACACAGATACTACACGAGGAGGTTTAGTGTCTGGGCTAACTCCACCAGTGCTGCAAAGGTAGGGAAACCTCCTGGCTAAAGCTCACACCAAAAGCCTCCTGCCCCCATGGGAATCAGGCAGCACACAGATTGAGCTCCATGATGCCAGAAAGTTTAAGGTGGATTTTTCCTCATCAACGCCAAGAGTTTGGGGCTGAGTTTGTCCATCTTGCCCAGCGGAAAACGCCCCACGCAGCTGGAGATAAAGAAGCAGGAGAGATCGCCAGGCTGAAAGAGGAGAAAGCTGGATGGAAAAAACCCATGAGGAAGAGAGTGCTGCAAAACCAGTTATCTCAGGATGGATCAGAGCCAAAGAGATAAAAAGCAAAGGGGCAGAGGGAACCGCTGGGGGAAGGAGCTGCCTGACAGGCCCCAGCTGCTGCCACGCCGTCTAGAAACCACAACCGGATTTTGAATCAGCCTGTTGGAAAAATGCACATAAAAACAACAAAAAAGCAGCATTTTTTTTTTCAAAGTCCTTTCGAGTTTTACTGAAAAAAAGGAGAACAAAAGAAGAGGGAAGTACTCCACATCAGAAGCAGGAAAATGAATGTCTAAAGGAAGTGACTTTTAAGAGAAACATCATCTCTCTGCATGAGCTAAACTGTCCTGGACGCAAGCTGGTAAATAAAATTTATGACAATTTAAATAAAATTGTCGTAAAAATCAGACATTCAGCATCAGACCTGCAGTCTGTGCTTGAAAGCCACCATCCTGCTGCCTGGTAGTTGCTGATATGGTAGAAACCTTTATAATTCCCAGCCTTATACCCAAACAAGATAAAGTGGATTTTGTTCCCTTTTTTTTTTTCCCTAAAAGCGTTTTTGGCAGCTCCCATTTCTCTCCATGCAACTACAGAAAGCAACACCTTTGTTTTACCAGGCGAAACGAACACTCCAATCCTTCAGGGTTATTCAGATCCCCTGTTCCGCGGGAGAAGCACGTAAGGGCTGAGCTTACGGTCACGACAAGACCTTAAAAAAAGAACCCAATGGGTTTGCCCAAGACCTGAGACACAACCAGCGCCAACAAACTTATGACCCTAGTCGATGGTTTGAAATTAAGGCTGCTCTTGAGGTTTCTTATCTGTGCTAGCAGCATCCACTACGCTCAACCCCCTTCAGTCCTGAAACGGAGATGAAACAATGAGGACTTGGCTCCAGAAGACAAACCTGCTTCTTGGTTTCCTCATGGTCTACACCAGCCCAGAGGATGAGGGGAGCTTGGTCATCAGCATGCAGCCTCTGCGGCGGCTCGGGCAAGCTCGAGACCTTCACTGATCCATCACAGAACTGGAAGATAACATAAGAAAGCAGCATCAGCATCTTCACAGTCAAGTTTCTCATCTTCCCTCAGCAAAATACTCCTCACTGGAGGCGCATTCTCTATGCAGGATCCCTACAGTCCTCAGCAGAGTAACTCACCTTTTTTTTTTTTTTTTTAAGGGTCTAGGTTGGCTATAGACAGGAGAGACTCATGGGACATCTCTGTGCAGAGGCACAAGCACCAAAACTTAGTCAAAACAATTCTAAAGATATCTTGGAGGGGGTTTATGGTTTAGCTTAAATGTGGATTCACACCTCCCCTCCCCAAACTTTCATTACAAACTTCATAAAATGCAAGAAAAATAACAATACAAATAATAATAACAAGTGTCAGGGGAATTCAACAGCCAATGTCTCCCAAAACCTCAGCATAAACCTCCACCTTCTTCCCTCTGCTCAACATTTAAGCCAGTGTTTCTGCTCCTGGCTGGACTAATCACCAGCATGTGCTGCTATAGCCATCAAGTATTGGCTAACTACTCCAGGTAATCAGGGCAAAACATTTCCACACACCTCAGATGCTTAATGAAAGTCTGAAAACAAAAGAGGCATCAATAAATACATCAGCTCAGTCCTCACGAGCAGATTCACAGAACCTCTAAGGGAGGTGTTTCACCAGCCCAAGGCACAGGAATTGTCACCCCCAGCCCTGATGTGAAGGGGTTTTGGTTGGTTTGTTTGTTTGTTTTTTTCTTTTCTAGTCGGTTTCTGGATGATTTTGCACCACCCACAGCTCTTCGACCCTGCTGCTGCCTCCAAGTGGGGCTCTGGACCGGAGGCAGTTGCAGGTCCTGCCGGCTGTGGCACAGAGCTCAGTTAAGCATACGATGCAGTTGCACACAGTCTCAGATTTCTGCTGAGCGCCAGCCAACTGGCATCACAAGGCAGGCACAAATAAAACCCTTTTTGAAGCCACAGCTGCAAGATGAAAGCAGAGAAACAGAAGCCGCCAATCTCACTTCGTTTTGACACTCTTGAGCCTGTTTTGATGACAGTAGACTTAAGAGTTAACCAGGCCTGAGGGAGCAACTGCTCTCCTACAACAGCAGCCTCTGCTGAAATAAACCCAAATCCCAACGGTTCGAACCTCTCACAGAATCACTCAGGTTGGAAAAGCCCCTCGGGATCATCGAGTCCAACCCTCAGCCCCACTCTACAAGTTCTCCCCTACCCCACATCCCCCCACAGCTCATCCCAACGGCCCCCAGGGATGGGGACTCCCCCCTCCCTGGGCAGCCTATTCCTCTCTGACCACTCTAAGAAAATTTTTTTCCTAATGTCCAGTCTGAACCTCCGCTATTGCAGTTTAAATCCATCTCTCAAGATCCACTGGCCCAGCCCTGTAGAAGTCTTACTTTTTCAAATTCAATTTTGATGTAGAAGTCATCATCTTGCTCAGCCTGCTGCAGGGCCGTCCCCTGGTCTTGCAGTTCAGCTGGAAGATCATGATGCCCTGCCAGATGCATTTCCTCACTCTCATCTCCTGTGGGCACCGCCGCTGTCTTGCAAGACTCTGGTTTCTGGAGGAGAAGGGAACAGACCAGCAAAAACATGGAATTCAAATGTGGCTGCTTCGGTGCCCAGGGCAAATGCAACATCCTCATGCACAGGTTCAGAAGTAGCTTTAACCCGAGGGTGCTTGCTCTGTAGAGTCAGTAGAGACCTGGCGAGCAGCAACACCACGCGTTCAAGCATTACTGCAGGGCACGAGAGCTGGAAAAAAAAATATCTGAATTTAGCTGGGTAATTCGTGACTACGTTCTCACCAACTGCAGAAACAGAGGGACAGGTGTGTGTGGGGCGAAGGAAAGGCAAGGAAAAGACCTCTCCAGGCGCTGTTTCGCAACTGCAAGGAGTTGGGGGGGATCTCTGGAGTGACACTGTAGTACGTAGCATACTCCTTCAGATGGTAAGTGGGCAGGCTCCCTGGTGGCAATTAACAATATTTTGAGAGGCAGCAGATTGTTTCCTACAAAATAAAAAATTAAAATGCCAAAAGCAAGCTTGGAGCCAGGATTTTTTTTTTTTCCCCCTGCCTTGATGTCCCTTCAGCATGCTAGGAAGGGAAGAGCAGGGCTGCTGAGAGTGGCAGAGGATGGATCAACAGGAAGAGAGCAGGTCACACCAGGGCTCCCTGGAGTTGGCTCTGCTGCCATAAAAGGAGGACAGAGACAGCCCAGAGTTATTTAGTAGGTGTAGGAATTACTCTATGGACCCTGTTATGGCAGAAACACAACACAGAAGATCTGCTTCAGTGAGGAACAGGGAAGAAATGAACAGTGAAGCCGCCCCTCGATGAGTGGGTTCAGTTTTGGGCCCCTCACCCCAAAAAGGCCATTGAGTGACTCGAGCGTGTCCAGAGAAGGGCAACGGAGCTGGGGCAGGGTCTGGAGCACAGGTCTGCTGGGGAGCGGCTGGGGGAACTGGGGGGTTTAGTCTGGAGAAGAGGAGGCTGAGGGGAGACCTCCTGGCCCTCTGCAACTCCCTGATAGGAGGGGGCAGAGAGGGGGGATGAGTCTCTGGAGCCAAGGAGCCAGCGCCAGGCCCCGAGGGAATGGCCTCAAGCTGCCCAGGGCAGGGTCAGGCTGGCTCTGAGGAAGGATTTCTGTGCAGAAGGGGCTGTTGGGCGTTGGAATGGGCTGCCCAGGGCAGGGGGGCAGTCCCCATCCCTGGGGGGCGTTGAAGAGTTGGGTTGACCCAGCGCTGAGGGATCCGGGGCAGTTGGGAAAGGTCAGGGTGAGGGTCATAGTTGGACTGGAGGAGCTTCAAGGGCTTTCCCAACCCAGATGATTCCTTGGTTATTGCCATTCTACCAGAAAGAAGGAAATGAAACCGTGGAAAAAAAAAAACATCCACCAACTTTGGGGAATTATCAGTTGGGGAAAAGATTTTGGGTGCCGTCATGCTGGGAACCTACAGCAGTCTACCATACCCTAACGGCAAGGTGGCTGAAGACTTGGTGAGCAGGATCATCTGAAACACAGGACAGGTCATTTCTGCCTGATTACCATCTAGGTATCTGCTTGGGGAAGCAGGAAAGAAACTCCCTGAATGTTTTTGACCTGAAAAGAATCATCTGGAAGAGAAGAGCAGCAATGATTTTGGAAATGTGGATTATTGTTTGCAGGGAATGCAACTCTTTAGAGGTAAGAAGGAGAAAAAAAAAGAAAAATGCAGAAAACAGGACTGAAGAAGAAGCAACAGTTCCTTTAAACTGAGAAAATGCAAACTAGCTGGCTAGAGTGGAAAGACAAGCAGCACAGTGGGAGACAACCCTGGCAACATCCCAAGCTCTTTGTGCACCCGCAATCAATGCCAGCACGGAGGAAGGGGAACACGGGTCAGATTACTGAAGGAATCACTCAGGAGACAACACAAGCACGTGGGGACAAAAAAAACAAAACAAGTGCCAGAAAGGTCAAAGCTCTAAGTAAGATAAGAGAGAACAAGGTAACAAGTCAGGCTTTGAGGCTAAAGACTCATTTGTCCAGAAGGACAGCTATCAGGGGACACGGAGAACAACAGCGTTTGATGCTTCTGGGCATCGATGTTCAGCCAAAGTCTTGCTCTGACCTAAGAGGAGCCAGAAAAATCTGGGATTATTATTGGGAAGAGTCAGATTATACCCAGGAGCTGAGGTTTTTAAAGCAGGCAGGACCTGCCCTGGGTTACTGGCAGACAAGCTGCTAACAGCCCACTCCTCCCACACCCCTAAACCTGTGGAGGTCCACATTATCAGAAAAGTGTCTATCTTTAAGTAAAGGAGGGGAAAAGGAAATACTAATGAGAAGATTTTAGCCTCAAGAGTTTAACTGCCTGACTTCTGGAAAAACAAGAGGAAATCACCTCTCAAACTGCCTGTAAACTGCTAGAAAACAAGATAAGCAGCAACTGGCATAAATTCGTCAAGAGCAAGTAGTATCTAGCTGGTTTGAATTTCTCCTACAATAGAAGAAAGGGGCCTCGGGCAAAGTGCAGCAGAAGACATCTCGATTTTAGCTCATCTTTTGACATGGCCTAATTCAACACTTGTGAAAAGAAAAATCAGTTAGATGAAACTATTATACTGGAAGTGTAACACTGATTAAAATCACTACCCAGATTCAGTCTCAGGAGTTCACTGCACAAAAATAGAGTAAGAACTAGGTGGGCTCCACTTGATAATTTCATTATTGACCTGGATGATGGAAGAAAGAACGACCTTGATTATATTTACCGACCCCACCAAGCCACTTGAAGTTGCACAAGTATTTGAAAACAGGCTAAAAATGCCTGGGTTCAAGCCAAAGAAATCAGCTGGAATAGTCAGCACAAGGAAATTCAACCAGGACAAAAGCAAAGGGCAAGGCAGTGCACTACAGCAGCAATTACCAAGGCAGCCTTTTGCATCTGAAAAGAAGGGAACAAGCGGCTGCCCTGCCTAGTTGTGAACACGGCAAACCTTCACACAGGGAGAAAGATTCAGATTAATATTAGAGCTTTTTTCCTCTACTCTTGGAGTAATAAAAGAGTAATGGAATAAATCAATGGATCACCCTCTGAATAAACTGCCACAGGAAGCTGTTAAATCCTCCGTGCCAGGGGTATGAAGGGAGAGTAGATTAACTGTAGCTACCCAGGTTCAGGTGGGAGGATGGCCCCGATCCCTCCCAGCCTTGTTTCTCCCTGCCGTGGATGAGTCGCCACGGAACTCCCACACATTCTTCTCGCCGTGTTCTGCAACCCTCTTGCTTGCAGGGGCAGAGGCTTTATTATTCACGCGAGGCTTTAGTGCTGCTAATAGCGAAGTAATGAATCACTCCATCTCCCTGAGCCTCTGAACACACCGAGGACTTAAGCAGAAGGTATGTTTAGTGTTGGAATTGGGTAATGACGCTTTCGAGCCCATAATTATACCGTTTCTGTAACTCCTGTTGGCAAAGCTGACTTCCTTGAACAGAAATCCAACAGTACACTGAGGAGGAAGAGCAGGACCAGCCCTTATATTAAAGGTATTTTCTAGATAACAACCAGCCAAGACCTACTTCACCTTTGATGAACCCGAGAAAGAAATGGGAATGAAGAATTGCAAGACGGGCAGGAAACTAGCTCAGGAGGAGGCACGAAGACAAAATACCAGGTTGGGTCACTGCTGGTGTTCTCCAGGATGGTCAAAGTATGTCAGTTTAAGAAAGGTCTTGGCACAGAAAGCAGGATAATAGCTGTGACACAAAGCTGCTCTTGAGAACTGAAGTGACAAAAGCAGGATGAAATTCAGCAGAACAAAAGGCGAGGCAGTCAGCACTGACCTCCTTACATGGCTCCTGTGCACTGCTTCAAGGAAAGCAGATGTGTGCCAACAATTCTCTACCAGAAGCCAGCCCTGCGTAAGGAAAACCCTCCAGATCTTCGCTGCCCACACAAAACAAGGGATTGATGCAAGGGCTGATGCAATGGCTGTTGAAGTCTGCTGAAGAAATAAAGGCACCCAAGAGGAGGGCTGATCATCACATTCCTCCCGGATACCCAGATCACAATCTCAGCCTTTAAAAGAACCTTTTTTGAATCTTGTTTCCTAGTTTATCTCTCGTTAGTCTCTGCAAACAGAGGGGTTTTCACTCACTTTATCCTGTTGCCTTTCAGAGAAGGCGGCAAGAACAGAGGAATGGGGCCCTCGGGCAACTGAAATCGACGGGCTAATCATCAGGTGGGGCACAAAAGCCCGGTTTGTTTCACTTCTACTAGAGAAACTCACTGAACCATACTTTGGAATTGCTAATTTAGAGCCAGACCTTCAACTGTTTGCAAGGTAATTCCTCCTACCCTACCCCAGACACCCCTTGCTCACCTCTCGCCTCCAGATTCCACCGGGGAGTTCGGGGACTCCTTGGAGCACGGTTTTACAGGATGCCAGCCTGCGCCGAACTTGCTTCAGAGTTTTGCTAAGCTGCCGTTTAAGAGGGAAGGTAAAGACAAGACAGAAGAAGTGGTCACTAGCGGCTTTCTGTAAGAACTATGCCAAGAACTTCAGCTGCAGCAGGGTCTCCTACCTGGACCAAGGTGCTTGATCAAGGGAGAGTAACTCAATACACAATTAGCTTCACAATTAGGTAATCTACAACCCAAGGTGTCTTTCTGAGCTTCCCAGTGCACTGAAATCTTGATCCAGCCAAGGTAAAGGGCTTGGTTACAGATCATCTGCTCCCAAAACACTTTGCTGAGATGCCACAAGTCTCAGGTCCCTAATTGTCCTGCCCAGAAGTGATTCCCCACCCCAAGGGAAGCAGAATGACTCCAGCTCCTCGGCGAACACACGTGCTTTAGGAAAAAAAAAAAAAAAAAAA